ACAGAGAGCGAGCACAAGCAGGGGGAGCGGCAGGCAGAGGAAGTCCCGATGTGGGACTCGATCCCAGGACCCTGAGATCAGGACCTAAGCCAAAGGCAGACGCTTAACTGACTGAGCCACCCAGGTGCCCTGTGGACTTATTTTATCATACTAAGTTGATGCTATCCATCCTGCTCAGTATGCAATTTATTTCAATTCTGAAGCTGTCCCTTCTTACAGTTAATTAAGCACCAACTATTACCCTGTTGTTAAACACCAAATATTAAACACCAAGTATTAACTGGATTGAATGAAGATAAAGATTGGATCCATAGCAAAGGAAATGAGAAATTCTAATTCTAATAGAGAAACAATTGCATATACTTTGGTAGCTACCAAAACATTATGTACAGTAATTAAAGGATGACCATGAGGCATTTGGCAAATTTAAATAGAGTGAAAAATAAAATAGTGAAAATAGTTCTACTGGGATACAAAAAATCATTCTTTCTAGCTTTTCTTTAAAGCTCTATAAAGTTCAGTAACTATTCAGAGTTCAGTAAAACTCTATAAAGTTCAGTAACTATTTTCACTTTGCCTATATTTTTTGGGTTGTTATCTTGCCTTTTCTAGTCTTTTATTCTATTTCTTATAAGTTTCTTGGGCACTAGAGTATTTTTGTTTTATTTATTTTGTTTAGCCTCTTCCTCAAACCCAGTACTCTTTAGTGCATATGTTTGCAATAAAATCCAGTAACGAATAATTTTCCCTTTAAACTAACTGCGCTTAAGAGTAGGACCGAGGACGAGAAATGTAGTAGATACTTGGAAAGCTTCCACACCATCCACACAGAGAAAGCCGGAACTAGAGCTGCAGAAAAGTTTGTAACTAAGTATTGCCCTCCAGTGAAAAAAAGATGACAGTTCTCAGGAAAATAAAAGTCAAAGTAAACACCTGGGCTTATCGCCTATGCTTAGAAAGGGCTCAGAAATGTTGGTATTTCCTTTGCTGGGTGGAGGAGCAGGTACATTGAAAAGCATAAAACTGGGGCCCTTGCCTCCTTCCTCTTCTCCTTCCCTTCAGAAAAGTTTTACTGAGCTCCTGGGCCAGACACCCAGGCATAGGAAGACGAACAAGCTATAGGCCCTGTTTTTGGGGATCTGGCATTTAGTGAATACAGGTAATCAGGTAATGAGATTATGGTGTGACAACTGCTATGACGGAGGTGATCTGGGGGTACTTTGGAAATACAGAGGGTGAGCACTTAATTTAGACTTGCAGGTCACAGAAAACTTCCCATGCGGGAGGTGATATCTAAGTTGGGCCCTGAACGACAAAGAATTGAAGGTAGGCGGCAGGGGGGGGAAGTGAGTGAGGGTTAGTGGGTAGCCAGGCAAAGAAGCCCTACTAGGCTTTAGATATAAAGGTTGAGATCTTTAAAAACTTATGTTTTGGTTTGCAGATCTTTTACCTGTAAGTGGCTCAAAACAGCCCCTCGGTAAAGTAAAACTGTGGAAGGGCAGAGTTCACCTCACCTTTCACTAGACGTGCATCTTTGACCTAGAGCCTACCATAAATTATCAGTGACCCAAACTCCATTTTCCCTAGCATGTCTCTTCGGAACTCTGCTTGGACAGTATCTTGAATTATTTGCTTATGCTTCACATATAATCCCTGAGAGATTTTGTCAGTTGTGGAGTAGAAGCTACTAAATGAAGGCTGTGAAGTGTATCTCTTCATTGTGCACAATTTAGTATAGAACAGGCACGTGTTCTCTTTTGGAATATGACAGAATCCCATTTCAGTCTTGCTATAATTCTCATGTAACATTGTCATACTCCACTACAAAAGCAGGAGGAAACCATTACTTTATAGGTATTTTTAAAATCTACTTAAAGAAAACAAAACTTCAAAATTCCCAAACTTTTAGCTATGGTATCAGAATACAGTGTTTCTAGTCTTCTGATAGTAACTATGAGTTAAGATATATTTCTTTTATTTACTAATACTATCCTTGGTTAAAAATAAAGTGATTATAATGGCACTCACCTTGCTTTTCAAAGAATAAGTGGACTATTGAATAGAATATAATTTTAAAATTTGCTAACAAGAAATTTTAACTTTTTAAAATCTATTCTGCCTCAAAGATATTGTTTGTAGAGGTCCATTTTACATATTCAAAAAATTCTTTCCTCTTTCTACTTAAGGATTCTGCCGAAAATTGCCTACCATGCTTCCAGAATAGAGCACGAAAGATTTCTTACTGAGATTTGTTCACGCTGAATCATGTGGAAAGTTACATGGACCAAAAGAGCCAAAGGCATGGATGAGCCAGAACATGACTTTGGAAGTTAGGAGATTTTTTTTTTTTTTTTAAGATTTTATTTTTAAGTAATCTCTACCCAACAGGGGGGCTCAAACTTTCAAGCCTGAGATCAAGAGTAGCATGCTCAACCACCTGAGTCAGCAGGTGCCCCTGAAGTTACGAGATTCTAATTCAAGTCTCTGTTCTTTCTTTACTAACTCTCTCTCCTCCTCTAGGCAGTAGTAATTATACGATTTACTAAAATGTTCTAAGACTTGAGTTCTTTGAGGGCTATAGATCATAAATCTATAATGATCTAGTATAACTATTATTAGTGATATAAAATATTTTCCTAGAAAAATGTGGACAGTGACTTATGAAATAGCCCTAAGAAATTTACTAGATGAGTTAGACACTGGGATAGAAAAGTCTATAGGAAAAGGTTTAGAGTAATCCAAACTGTAACAGCGTAAAATCATAGGTAACCCAATGATCTTAAAAATTCATTTATTTGCCAGATGATAGAGGGTCCCACTTGCAATGACTTAATTTTTAATATACTACCAGAAGTGCTCTCTGTCCACCAAATGGCTTGGATATAATATAATCTAATGTAATATAATATAGAGAGTAAAATGATTATTTCATGTAGTTCTTTGCTGTATTTTTCACCTTAACCAAAAGTATTTTCATTTGAAAATTACAAGTTTACTTTCTTCCAAGAAGAAAAAAAAGGAACTTCAACTAGAATTATTCTTTGGGTTTTCTCAAATATTTCATATAGTTGCTATATGGAACAAACAAAAAAGGCAAGTTAGTGTGTCTATCAGCCTACACAACATTAGTAAACCATTATGAAACTGTATTTTTACCTAAAAAACATTATGAAGACACTCCATTTTTTATAGCTCTTAAAAACCGAGAGATATATACAGACATTTTTATAGTCGAAAAAAGTAACTTAGGAAAAAAAAAGAAAAAGAATTTCGAGAATAGTGCTGATCATCCAATTGCAGTTGTAAAAAGACAATGGTGATCAGGTTCCTAATATGTACATAACATACTTCTAGAAGGGGGAAAGAAGGATGCATATGGGGGTGCTTTCCTCTAACGGAGTCAACATGTACACAGGGGCAGGGAATGGTGACTCACACATTTTGCCTTGAATGCCAGTGTTTTATTTGAATCTTTGAAATAAGTATCTATGTATTATTTGTGTTAAAAACAACGAACTGCAGCAGGAGCCATTCATGCCTCCCCGCATCATCAGTGCTGCTTCCTGACTGTGGCTGGACCCCTACAGTGGCTACAAATACTGCCTCCCAAATGCACATTAACCAAAATACAAATACCTAGTAAGGGTTTGAAGAAGTATAGCTGAATTCAGTAATGTTTGGAATGTATCACCCATGTTTTGGTAGAGGATACAACAGGCACGCTTGAGTTCAAGTTCTGTGAAATGGCACGATGTGCTGTTTGGGGCGGTCACTCCTGATGGAGTCATGTGATCAGGGCAGGCACGATTTCTCTCACTGTACTGCTGACTGCACTAGAAACAATGCTCACCTGTTTTGCCTTTCTGTTTTTTTTTTTTAACTGTTTGACTTGCCTTTGAAAAACCCAGAAAAGACAAAAACATTCCACTGTTCATTCGCTAAGTCAAAGCCAGTGCTCCTTAAAAAGCTGGCTGATCCCTACCCCCTAATTACCTTGCAACACGAAGCTGTGACAGAAGACCTGTCAGCAGATTTTATTGACATCCCTTGAGGAAAAATCCTCTTTCTGTTTCACTTCATGCAGAAGGTAAGTTTGCAAAAGGGAACACTTGGCAGTACTTCAGATGCTCACTGTATGGTGGTGTTGATAATGCAGTTCTTTTGCTGGATGATGGCAGCTTCTACAATGCTGTATGATTCACGTAGACCATCATGCCCCAGCTAACTGCATTCACTGACTAAACAAATCATTCAAACAATCACCTCAACTGTTTAACCTTTTCTCTTCCTACAAGCTTAGCATTTGGCTATGGGCTGACTTTATGCTGAGTTCTATTGTTGAAAAGTGTCATGCTTCACCTGGCATGCTTACAAAATGTCTTTCATGCAGATAAACAGTCAGCTGACCTGAATGAAGAACACTGGTAATTACAGGTGATGCACTAATATTTATTGTATGTTTTAAAGGGAATGGCAAAGTATCACACAATTAATACGTAGATTTAAAATGAGTTTTTTTTTTAAATAATAGAGTCACATTCACACAACCCACAATAACTTCCCAATAAAAATTCTGTTTGTATAAGACATAAAATATGTCCCAAATAAAAATGTATCCAGGTAGTCAAAGCATACGCTTTCTTTTTCCTAGTAGTAGGGAAAAATCAGTGTGACTTGGTATCTCTAAATTGTTTTCGTGAGCATGTGAACCAAGCATCCCAGAAATCATGTGGGTTCTCAAGCCATTGAAGTCTACAAAATTGCTCAAAGCCACAGGTAAAAAGTCACTTGGGGAAATATTTGTAAAATAAATATGCTGGCTATTGTTTGGACTAACTCCCATGGGAGAAGGATTATCTTCCATAATACAGCTGATCAGCGTAACCAGTATAAGGTCTAAAATTACACACTTTGGGAACAGGCTACATGTATTGCCTATTCACAACTGTAACGAAAGAGATTGGGGAGGACACAAATAAAAGAAAAATGCATTTACTCACTGTGTTAAAATTTGGAAAGAGCCCAACAGCAGAACTACTGTCCACTGGAAAAGACATAAATGGTTTGATATCCAGTGAAGGCTGCATCATCAGGGTAGGGGTGCGCACAAAAGCAGGAAGTGTAGTTGTGTGGCATGTACTGCCTGCCAAGAACAAAACAAAAATGAATTCAATCTCTTGCTCAGATCCATCGCCTTCCCCAACCTACCGTGCAAAAACAGGACTGCTGAGCTGCAACCTGAGAGCAAGAGAGTTATGCTGAAGGTAAACGGCACAGGAGGAGAAAATACAGTTAAAAAGGGTCTTCTTGCTCATGATGTAAGACAGTGATGCAGAGTACTTCCCTATGGCAAGGGCCAAGGGCTGCTCAGATCGGGCAGAGGTACATAGTATATGGATCCTGCTGGCAGGTGGGGCAGAATAAGATCATTCTGTTGTTCAACCACTGTCTCTGACTTGCCAAAAATGTAGGAGAGAGGAGGGGAGGAGCCTCTTGCAGCCAGATGCTCTTTACTATTCAGAGTTATTGAATGGCTGGTAGGCATGTTTTATGCAAATCAGAGATAATTATAGGGTTTTTACAAGGGGGGGAAAACCTTGGACTCACAGTCACTGCCTGCTCCCAAGAAAATTATGACTCAATTTTATCTCTAAAAAAAAACCAAACTGAAAGTTGCCCTTACTCTGAGGGAAATAAGTAGTCTAGACATTGGATAGTTAGAGAACCTTAACGGAGTGATTACTACTAAAGGGAGAGATTACTACCCAGGTGGGGCAGGGTACCGGGGGACAGGGAGAAGTTAGGACAAAAACTCAAATATTTGTCTCCAACTTGAATTCTAATGAGCCTTGTATTATTGTGGCGACTAATCCCTTTTTAACAATTACATTAGCTGTCATCTCTTTAGGAATCTGGGCTAACCCATGTGTGGGAGATTTAAAGCACTCCTCTCCAACAACAAGCATTCTTCTTCTGAAACCTCCATCTACTGCAGGTAAGTAGCTGTTGGTGCAGGTGGCCCTCTGGGAGATAGGCTCTGGTGTGCCTTTTTTTTTTTTTTAAATATAGTAACATTATTGAGATATAATTCACATACCAGACAATTCTCCCACTTAATGTGTACAATTCCATGGCTTTTAGCATATCCATAGCGTTGCGCACATCACTACAGTCAATGTAGAACATTTTCACAATCCCTAAAAGAAATTCCATACCCATTAGCAATTTTTCCCCATTTCCTCTCAATATCCCCAGCTCCCAGCAACCACTAATCTACTTTGTTTCTAGGTTTGTCTATTATGGACATTTCATTTTTTAAAAATTTGTTTTTAAAGATTTTATTTATTTACTTGAGAGAGAGCATGTGCATGTGCATGAGCAAGGGGAAGGAGACAAGGGGAAGGGAGAAGGAGAGAGAGAATCTGAAGCAGACTCTGTGCTAAGCATGGAACCTGACACAGGGCTCGATCTTACCATGACCTGAGCTGAAACCAAGAGTCGGCCGCTCGGCTGCTCAACTGACTGAGTCACCCAAGTGCCCCTATTATGGACATTTCATTTACATGAAGTCAAAGAGGGACGCTTGGGTGGCTCAGTTGGTTGAGCGTGTCTGCCTTTGGCTCAGGTCATGATCCCAGGGTCCTGGGATCGAGCCCCACATTGGGCTACCTGCTCAGAGGGAAGTTTGCTTCTGCCTGCCATTCTGCCTACTTGTGCTCTCTATCTATCATCTATCTATCTATCTATCTCTCTGTCAAATAAATAAATAAAATCCTTAAGATAAATAAATAAACGAAGTCAAACAATATGAGTTCTTTTGTGACAGGTTTCTTTCACTTGGCATAAAGTTTTCAAGGTTCATCCATGTTGTAGCATGTATGAGAATTTCATTCCTTCTTAAGGCTGAATAATATTCCATTGTAGATGTAAACACTTTTTTTTTTCCTTATTCGTTCATCAGTTGATGGGCATTTGGGTTGTTTCCATGCTTGCGTTATTATGAATAATGCTGCTATGAACATTTGTCTATAAGTTTTTGTGTGGAGATATATTTTCAGTTCTCTTAGGAATATACCCAAGAGTAGAACTGGGGACTCTTGGGCTGTATGGTAATCATATAGTTTAACTTTTTGAGAACTTTCAGAGTGTTTTACAAAATGGCTGAACCATTTTATAGTACCACAAACAATGTACGAGGGTTCCAATTTCTCCCAGCATGTCTATATAGGGCCACAAATAATTATACGCCGAAAATCTCCTACTGACTTCAAGGAGAAATAAACAGTATGGGAAAATGCTCCAACTATTAAAATTTCCTCCAATGTTCTCACACAGTGTTCCAGAATAATTAAAATTTCTATTTCAATGATATATTTTTTGATAATGGATTTCCTTAATAAACTCTGCATTATATTTCAAATCATTCCAGAACATTATTAGTAATAGTTTTTAATGGACTATCATGCCTCATTTACATTGATCCTCAAGACAGAAAAAAAAGAAAATGGCATCTGAAATATTCATCTGTAATGGCAAGTCTTTAGGTCAGCCCCATCCATTAGGGAATATAGAGGAGGACTCAGCAAAAACAGAATCAACCGAAAGTATAGATCAAGCAGTAATGGTTTTCTCTGATGCCAAAATAAATACTCTAATCTCAGTCTGGCATTCACATAACCACCCTGTATTTAATTACACATTTTTCTTCTAATTAGGTAATGTTACATTCATTGCTAACTTCAGAGCTTGCAGATCCAAGATGATATATTATGTCAGTGTTTCGATGTTGCAGAAGCACTTATTATAATCTTTATTTTTAAAAGCTTTGCTTTAAAATCTTAGCTAAATTGAAAAAAAAAGATATTTCTTATTTTAGACCGATGGCCTTTTACAACTCACAATTATTATAATTGTCAAAGGTCGAAAGTCCAAAAAGTATACAGAATTATTCTACTTAAAGCTGCCTAATGGACAAATGATTTTGCCATCACGGGTCTCCCCACATCAAAAGCAAAATTCTTTCTATAAGCCCATGTAGTACAAGGTATCGGAGGGCTTGGCAAGAGTCATTTTATACTCACAAACTCAAATCAAACATAATGCAACATGGAACTTGACAAACAGATTGCTCCATCAACAAAGGTCAGAATGCACAATGATCCCCTTTACCCAACCAAATATCTATGCTAATAAAGACAAGGCTTGAGAACTATTTAGCTGCCACCATTCATTAGCATAAAAACTTAGCAGCTGTTTACCATTCATTAGCATTTTAATGACAGACAATTTGCCATGTTAAACACAGATTGTTTTAAAGTACTGGTAGATCTCCTGAATAAATAAACTGCTTTCATCAATTCCCCTCACCTCAACCTTGCTGTTTTCACTTTTCAAACCTGCTTTTTCATGTCACTTCTCCCAGACCCATTGCTTCAAAGGAAGTTTTTGCAAATGGGAAATGAATAGGGATAAAGGGCTTTTTTGCACAAATTAGGTCAGGCTTTAATCCCTCTGTCACGTCATTCCAGATTTTGTTGCTGCTCCCCCTGCTGGGAAGCATTTCTCCTCACCTTGGGATGCCCAAAAGTTGGTGGGAAATACAAGCAGAAATTTGTCCAGAATACATTGTACCCTGCAAGAAAATGCTTAGTATCTTTAACATTTCCTGGGAAAACAGAAAGGGTTGACAATATAATGAGCATTAAGCATGATATCATGTATCTTTTACATTGCTATGCTCATGGGACAAGTCCAGCCTTTGTCTTTTGTATGAACTATTTGGCAATATTATGTAAGACACCCCCAAATGTAGTTCTATTTCAAAGCAAAGGATACAATCTTACATATATATCATAATGAATCAAGTCATAACAGGGCTCCACCTTATTTGATAATAAAGATTTTTATTTTTTTAAGATTTTATTTATTTATTTAGAGAGACAGAGCAGGGGTGGGGGGCTAGAGAGAGAGGGAGAGAGAGAATCTCAAGCAGACTTTCTGCTGAGTGTGGCGCTGGACCCGGGGGCTCGATCCCAGGACCCTGAGATCATAACCTGAGCCAAAATCACGAGTTGGATGCTCACCTGACTGAGCCACCCCGGTGCCCCAATAAAGATTTTTATATCACTTGCTGTATATATAGACCAAACTCCCTGACCTAAAATGAAATGCACACAAGCATGCATGCCTTCTCCAAAGATCCAACAGTCACCGCTCTCACACGGACACTGCACATGTTCATATACTTTCCCATAAGAATGCTATTAACCCTCTCCCCCAAATTTCATTTTCATTGTAAAATCCAAGTTGTATTCATCTATAACTATGAAACTAATAATGAGAACGACAACTCACCACTATGATCATAAAACTATTATTCGGCCAACTGCCTCTGTAACGTAATAGGTGCTTTATTATGTCAACAGATTATGTTGTAATCCATCACAATAAAACCCCATTTGAGGGTTAGGTGACACGTGAAATTATTGCCTTAGTCTTTGACCTTTAGAAATATAATCTTGAAGATTTAGGTGATAGCTCTGAGGGTTCCTAGTGGCTCTTCTCTATGTACCAAAACATGAGCAGATGAAACACCCCAGTGTTAGAAGGAGGAAATGCCGAAGTCACAGAAAAACTGTATGGAGAAGCATTTACAGAATGAAATCAAATCTATTCTATATCCCACAGAAATAGTTTTTTTCTTATGCCATTATTATGTATGTCTGCCCTAGTGAGCACTGAAATAAAAAGCTTAACATATAAAAGTCTATCAGGTGGAGGCAATGCCAATTATAGAACTCCCAGAGATGTCTTTAAAGAAATTGACACTTCAGAATGAGTGACACTTCAGAAGTCCTACCAAACTCAGTTTTCTTTTTACTGCTTTCCCAGCTTTGTTGCCTCTTACCCTGAGTAACTTTCCCTCTTAACCGCCACAATCACCACCCAGCGGCTCCTCTCCTCCTCTCTCATCATTTCTATTCTTTCATTAGTCTAACACCTGAGGAAAACAAATTTATCAAGAGATCAAGTGTGTCACAAGGAGGTGGCTATGTGAATAGGAGATGTGACTGATAAAGGGTTTTGTTTCTGAAAAGGCCACGTAATAACAGTAACAGAGATAACATTTTTATAGTGCATACT